TCCCTGACATTCTGTGATTCTGTGATAAAGGCTGTGCAAGGTCTTTACAGCTTTTGTCACCCTGTCAGCTGGTCACAGCAGAAGAGGTCAGGATGATGAAACGTGGGAGCCTCTCCTTTGGGAAAAAGGAGACTTGGCGTAGGAAAGAGCAAGCGCAGGAAATGGCTGGAGATATTTCCTGGATAGCCAGGTTTGTGTCTTCTGCTGTAGGTCTCCTTGTGTAGCATTTCTGGATAACTGAGCCTGCAGAGATGCTGCTGTGAGGATGGTGTTTCAGTTTCAATTTTAAAGGATACGCTGGCTGAATTGCAGAATTTATTTCTTAGAAACCCTTCGTGGGCAAACCAGCTTCATGTATATGGATGTATGTGCTCTTCCCTGGGTGGAAAACTGGCTGGCTGTGCCCAAAGAGTGGTGGGAATGGAGTTAAATCCAGCTGGTAGCCAGTCACCAAGTTACATCTTCCTCATAAGCTCATGAAAGTTCTGGTGGATAAATGTGGCTTTTTCCATTATTTAATCATAGCATTTTGGATAACGATTCTACCTGTTAAACACAGTCTTGCTAAAGTGAAAGGTAATTATGGCTGCACAGCTGCATCATTTGCTTCTCTTTCTTTCCCCACTTATCCCCCACACTATTTTTTTTAGTAAAACTGCTACTTCATGCACTTGGAAATCACCTTCACCTCCATGTTCATTCTCACCTAAAGGTGCAAAGTAACCTTCTGCTGGTTTTTTTGAGACTTCATTAAAGCATTTTAGGCACTGGCCTTGCTAGGGTGGAGTTTATCAAAAGAAAACCAGTTGTCCCACAGGTTGAGCAAATGACTGCCAGTGAGCAGCAGTACTGACTTTAAAGGTAGTGCTGGATTTGTCACTTGTCTTTGGATGCTTCTGGATGACAAGGTAATGCAGGAGTTTCATGGCTCTGAATATATAATAAGTCATTAGCAGACAAGAGAATGTAAATGCTCTTCCTAAAGCTCATTATGGCTGATGTTCACCAGAACTTTGTGCTCTATTATCCTGTTCCTTTCATGCTTCACGCTTGCCCTTCCCAATTCCACTCGCTCTGTTTCATCTTCCATGATTTTTTTTTTTAATTTGACTTTGGTGTCCCACGTGTAGTTAAGACACTGTGTCCATTGAGTTCAGTCCTGCTGGCATTTTCATATGCTGCGCTCCTCTGGCCTGAATACTTGTCCTTCTACTCCAGTAGCCCTGAGGATATTTCCTTGACCCTTTCTGCTAGCTTCTCAGATCATTTTCTCATCTCCCGTGTCGAACATGAATGTTGAATAGGTTGAACTGATTTTAATCCTGTGTTATGAGCCAATGTATTTATGCTGTAGCCAAGAAAATGTACATATCTACTTTTAATATATCTGTGCATGGAAACACCTGCTTAAAGCAAAAGGGTAAATTGTCCAATTTTCTGTATTGTCAGCTCCTTAAAGTCTATTTGTCTTTAAAGTTGTTTGTGACACACTTTGGCTTTTACATTAAAGCCTCAGGTTTAAGTCTATAAGTAATGTTTGTTAGCCTCTTGGTGTTAGAGAAATGTATAGACTCGACACTAAACACACACAGGAACTGAATGTTTACCCAAAATAACACTTTATCTACGTAACACATGGAGAGAAAACACAGTGGATCCACAAGTCATTTTCTGATGGAGGGTAGTTGGATACATTTAGCCTCAAACCTCAAATGTCCAGACCTGCATTTGTTTGTTACATCACAGAAACACTCATCAAACAAGATTATTTGAGCCTAGCTATCGATATCTTTAACCTTTTTCTTCTTATTGGATGTTTTTTTTTTCCAGAACAAGAAGAAAACTTTGAGTTTATCATTGTCTCTCTTACCGGCCAGACTTGGCACTTTGAAGCTACCACATATGAAGAAAGAGATGCGTGGGTACAAGCCATCGAGAGTCAGATCTTGGCCAGTTTACAGTCGTGCGAGAGCAGCAAGAACAAGGTATGGAACACAGAGTAAGACTGAATATAATGAATGGTTGGTTGAGCTTTAAAAGGAAAGTAAAATCAAGAACTTTGAATTTTAAACCTGTGCTCCTAGAGACGTGCAGGTGTTAAACACACAACAGAGCAGTGTCAGTGCTGCATGCTTATCTCAGACACTTCAAGACAATTAGTGCTGCAGCCTGTTTTACAGTTTATTTTTCACAGCAGTTGAATTAAAGGAGCTCCTGGATGATTTTTTTTTTTGTCTTCAGTATTGCTCTTAAAATTTTGCCTGAAACCTGGGGCTAGGTCATGGACTCTCCCTACTGAGAAGATGTGTAGTGCAGTCACTGCTGCAGATTCAGGGTTGTTTCAGGTGAGAGGACTGCAGAAGGCTCTTTAGGAATAGCCCTGTCTTGGAGAAGAGTGGAGGCAGACCCCAAAACCAGCGTATTTACTGTTCAGATCTCTGGTTAAATCTACTCAGCTCTCACATGGCAGAATTTAACTAAGCATTCTGGTTGGCCTAACCATAAATGTGCAATCATGTTCAGCAACAGGACTCTGCCATGATGAAATAATACAAATCACAGGAATCAAAATAAAGCTGTTGCTTTTGTGTCTGATGCTTTACAAAGCCTAAGCACAATTTTTCTTTTCTTTTTTTTTTTATTACACTGAATTAATTTTTTATGGTTTTGTGCCTTAACTATATAACAGAAAGCAAATCCCAAAACTGTTCATCAGAGCTTTTTGGGAGAAGATGAACATGGCCTGAGAGGAACAGGGCTTCTACCTTGCAGTGCTTTCATATCATACATAAATGATAATAATAAATAATAGAATATTTAAATAATGACATAAATAATTTGTTCTCCTTTCCTGTCAAAATAAAAAAATAAAAGTTTAAAATCTGAGACTTCCTTCAGCCATTGCTCATTTTTGGAAGGGCAGGAGAACTTCTGCTTCTTGAATCTGTGTTTGCAAACACTTCACAACTAGAGAGCAAGGTGTTAAGTCATAGTGGAGGGAGAGAAGTGGAGAGTAATTATTCAGCCCTATAAATCCTTTAACATTATCCACCTAACCAGATGTCTGTAACCATTTTATACTGCAAGGAGAAGGCTCATATTTTGAAATGAATTCCTGCTTTCATTGCCCTGATCTACCAGAGTACATCAGACACCAGTAATTACCATCCTCGTAATATGATTTACTTCCTATTTTGTTTAAAAAACTTATGTATTTCCAGTAGGTATTTCTGAGATAGAGAAAAATCCCTGTTTATCAGGTTTTTTGGGTTTACACATTTAACTGTGTATGTTAAGGGAGCACAACAGAGGAAATTTGTACCATAACACCTATATAAAAATACTAATGCAAAAGAGGGTAAAGAGTGGCTGGTAATATTTACTCTGCAGCACCTACAGAGAAGATTGGCTTTTGTGTATATTAATTTATTCTTTTGAAGGGGAGAATCCATTTATAAGATTATACATATACAGGGACCTTCTTGGCTTATCTATTCAACCTGCTACAATGCTCAGAGAGGTTTTTTTTTTCCTGTAAAGTATTACTGAGGTCTCAAAACGTGTCAGAAGAACATGCTGGAATAGCAAAGTGCAGTTAGTTGGGGAGGTTTAGTAGGTGTTCTATTGATAGCTCAGGAGGACATATCTCTACATGGCCGTACTGAAGACCTGGTCCTCATCCTGCTTAAATCATTGCAAAGAGTCCATCACTTGCTACAGCTAACAAATTTCTTCTTGGAAAGCCAACAAGAGAGTTTAGTTGGGTAGAGCTGAACTACTTGTGTATTGTGACAGTCTCACCAGGTCCAAGTAGAGGTCATTGGCAGGTCATCATGGAGAGAATTTAAATGGGAACCATCTGATTAAATCTGACCTTTTGATGATAAGGTCTCAGTTGCTTTTGCAAACCATCCCTTAGTCTTCATTAGCAAAAGCATAGATATCAATAAAATAAATTGATTTTATAAAATAATATTCTTACCTAATTTATCTCAAGAAGCAAACCTGCGCTGTGACTACCGTTCTTGTGAATAGCAGGGTTGATTTTCAAGCTTGATTTTCCTCTGTGTGGTCTCCCCACTTGTTAGAATCCAGGCTGGAGACTCTCAAACTCTGGGAGCTCCTGCACAGGGTGGAGAGAGCCCTGGGGGAAATCTTGAGCTGTCAAGAAATATGGGAGGAAAGAGGAGTCCCAGCTTGGCAGGCATGGACTTGCAGTGCTTGGAGATGCCAAAGGTTCACCATTTCTTGAGAGGCAAACCAAGAACTTGAGGTTCTTCAGTCACGTTCATTCAACCTTGGTCTAACCTTTGGGTTTTGCTGTTCACATCATCTAATTTGATTGAGTTCTGATTTGTTGCTTGTGCATTTCTTTACATCTACGCAGTCCCGCCTGACAAGTCAGAACGAGGCCATGGCCCTTCAGTCCATAAGGAACATCAGAGGCAATTCCCACTGCGTGGACTGCGAAGCACAGAGTAAGTACGGCCACTTGGCTGCGGAACATTGACAACCTCTCCTTCTTGGCCAAGGAAGTTGGCCAAGAAGTTGTGACTTAAGTGGACACCTGCCATGGACTTTGCCTTTTTGGTGTGATGTTCCATATGTTGTTTGCACTTTTCTTCTTCATTATGGAGTTTGCTTAACCACACATATTTTAATGTTAATTCATACTTAATATACACCGTGTCAAATGCATTCTGATATTTTTCCCCTTGCTGTTTGACGTGCCACTTTGAATGTTAGCGTTTCTTCACTTTCCTTTGAAGAAAAGGAAAAAGAAGTTGACTTCAGTTACTTCTATTTCCCTCCTGTTTTGCGTGGAGAGGGCACATGTGCCCTGGTAATATTTTCAAAGAGGTGGAGCTTGATTGGTGGGTTTTTTTGGTTAGGTTTTTTTAGGGTTACTTGTCAAAAGAAACCAAAGTCATTGCTCATTATATCTGGATACTAGAAAACTGATTTGGGATTTTTTTTTTCTCCTCTTTGTGTTTCTTTCCCTTTTTTTTATTTTTTAAAACATATACTTAGTGTTCAGAAAAGTGTTCTCAAGAATACTTTGAGCTGCAGTTCCCCTCACTAACCCCGGCTGAGGTCATTATTCTGGTGCTCTTTAGTTCCAAGGGTTTGCAACAAAGCCACAAAAAGGAAGTACTCTTGCTCTAAAGCAATTAGTTGTAGAAGCAGAAGGATTGAGAACTTCTGCATTTTTATTTCTTTGATATTTGAAAGCCAGAACTTTTCTTAAGATTTTTAGATTTGCTCAAAATGGAAAAAAAAAATATTTATTGTTTTTCAGGTAATGATTATTTTTTTTTTAAAAAAAAGATTTGTTCAGGATTTTTGACTACTGCTGTAAGCCATTCTAACATCCCAGTTAACTTTAAAATGAACATTGGTACGGAAGTGCAAGTGCTTTTGCATGACTAATTTGCTATGTGTATAGTTAGCAATTGAGCTGGTTCAGTCATCCACCAAACAAAGCTATTATCCTCTGCCTCTGCCTCAGAAGGCTTGAAGGGGGAAGGTGGTGAGCACATTAACAGCCAGTTAAAATTAAAAAATATATATATTTTTTTTTTCCAGTCCATACCATTAAAATGTGGTTCACATACAGACAGATTTTAATTGCTTCTTTTGAAAACTGTCAGATATTCATGTGCCGTCCATAGGAGATGGATGAAGAACAAAGGCAGCTGCCCTGTCCCCAGCAGTTCAGGGATGTGAGCCCAGGCTGGACCAGGCTTTGAGCACCAGGACTTGAATCCTGTCAAAAAAAACCTTGTTGACCTGCTGGAGGGAGATCCCAAAGAGAAATATCACAAGGACTTTTCCCAGACAGGGAGAAAAAAAATAGCAATATTGATAAATTAAGGTCTTTACTTTCCACTGTCTAGTAATCCAGCATGAGATAAGCAAGGGACAGTGTTGGTTTGGTTGGTATTTTAACATATACAGCCCCAAGTGACTCTTACTTATCACTGTCCTTTCATATTCACCTGGCAGTCGTTCACATTTACACCAGAGCTTTGATATAGTTCAAGTAAAAGGCATAGAAGATGCTGTGCTCTATATGAGAAGGACGTGGTCTTGAAGTGACCTAGATGTACATTTAGCTCATTTGAAGTAGTCCCTGCCAGCAGACGACGATGGGAGAGGTACTGATTGCTGCTCCACTGACTGGACAGCTGTGGGTGGCATTTTCCTAGACCCTGCAAACTGGTCACCCAGGCAGAGGGGGAACCAGTGATCCCTTCACTGCAGATGACTTCCCACACGTGTCCCTTTGAGGTACCCATGATCCAGTTCAGCTCTACCCAAGGTGCACACTATCCCCAAGGTGCGTGTTTCTCTCCGCAGTCGTGCATGTGGCCCAGTATTTATGCAGCCAAACTAGATGTTTAATCAGGAAAATAATTGTGCAAGAAAACAGCACCTTTTTTTTGGGTTTTCCCCCTTTCAGCCTGGTTGTTTTTCATCCAGATTGCTTCATGGGTCAAGCTGGCCAGACATGCATAGTGCCAGCAGAAAGGGATGTGCCAAGAAACGTATTGCTGGGAGAGGGCAGGGTGGGACTGCCCTTTTTGGCAGCACTCAGTGCTCTGCCATGTAGCTTTTGGGGGCAGGGGAGTGATTTTGGAATCTCAACTGGAACCTTTTAATTGTTTGTATTCTTGGAGATGATTTATACCCTCATTGACGGCTCTTGCCATTTGACCTTCCTAATTTTAAGGCCACTGCCGTTCCTTTTGAAAAATTGGAGATACTTCCAAAGCAATAGATCTTAAAATGTAAATGCACACGAGGTGAACCTCAGCCCTCTGCTTTTTCGTCTGGGTTTTGCTTTATTTCCTTCTCTCCCTTTCTGCCTTGCCTGGGCAAGTCCTTACCCCAGGAGTATTTAGCATCACAAACACCAGCGCTCTTGGGGAAAGCCTACAGTAGTTTGCATCTTCACAAAGCCAGATGTTTGGGAGCAAAGGAATATGAGATGTTGCTGTCCCTCAGCTCTATTCAAGAGCCATCAGTCTTCCACTTCAGAAGTTTCATTCTTCCTCTTTCTAGAGCTGTTTGCCTTTTTAGCACTTCATCACAGCACTTTGTTTCACCAGGGCATTTATTCCCTGTTGGATGTTAATCAGCAGCAGTTGTACCAGCAGCAGCTGTGTGCTGCCAGCCTTCTGACCCTTTGCTAAAGTTTTGCCAAGTTCTTTGTTTTAATGTTTCCATCCTGGAGCAATAGATGAGGCAAAGTGATCTATAGGTGCTGGAGTTTTTGCCCAAGAAGGTCTTATTTCATGTTTCAGAAGGAAACTAATGTTGTATTTTCCCAGAGCATGGGAGTCCCAGTGCTGATGTCTGTCTGGAGAAGGCACTGAAAATGATCCAAACCCAGCTAAGTTCCTGCTCCTAAAAGATTTTAGCTCTTCCAGTCATACTGCTTAAAGAGCAGATGAGAGGATAAATATTAATCACTATCAAGATACCTGGAGAGTGTGGGATATCAAGTCTTTTCTGTTGTAGAAGAAAACAGGGAGGGCTTAAAGAAGAGTCTCATCATGAGTTTTCCAGTCCAAGCATCTAATAACTTAACTCTGGTGTATTTTGTATTTGAGAGCCAACCTCTGAAGTAATAACTTGGGTGGCCCTGGCAAACCTATCAGACCCATCACAAAATTAAATTTTATATGCAGAATAGAAAAAAAAACCCTTTTAAAGAGTAGAAAAGATGCAGACTTCTCTCTCTCTATTCTGCTGTGACATGCCTTCACCCTGGCTTCTTCTTTCCCTGGCTCTTCTGCTCCTCCCTTTAGAACTTCCCTCTACTCAGCCCAGCGCTATCTTACAGGTGTTGAACTCATCAGGATGCAGCATGGCAAAGCCTTTCATCAGCATCCTCGTGTCCAAAGGGATGAAGGAGATGGTAGGGAGGGGTTAGTCTCCTAAAAGAGCTGTTCTAAGAGCTGTCACCTTCAAATGATCAATCTGATTGAGGTGCAAGTCAAAGTGAGGAGGAGGTTTTTAGAGAAGGAGAGAATGAAACAGCTTTAAGAATATGGATAGCTGAAAACTGTAATCTGGGAATGTTGAGTGGTGTGAAAAAGCTCGGATTTGGTTTGACAAATTATAAGTAAAACAAAGGAAAATGAGCTTTATAGCACCTCTAGCTGCATTGCATGGACTTTTTCCTTCTTTTACCATCAAATCTGGATGTGTGCGTGTGATTTTAACTACTCTGAGCACCCTCCAACTCAGAGTTACTGTTAGGAACAGCAGGAAAAGGAAGCTGCTTTTTTATTATCATCTTCTTAAAAAGAAAAAAAACTTTGAATAGTTATGTTTTGCTAACAACATGTGATTCTTTTCTGTATAAATGTGTGCTAACAATTTTCAAATATCAGATTTTAAAAGTGCTTAACCTACATATGGAAAGAGGGAGATGCAGATAGGAGCAGTGAGTTGCAGGGACATCCCTAAGCAGGTAGTTTACAATAACTCACTTAATTACTGCTGGGTAGTGACTTCAGTCATCCAGCATACATCCTTTTGAGCAATTTGTCATGTGCATACACTGAAACACATGTCCTAAGTGACATCATGTCTGGTTTTTCCCAGCATCCATCGAATGATGCCACTTGTCCAAGCTCCTCATTCAAGCCCCATAGAATCATAGAATCATAGAATGGTTTGGGTTGGAAGGGACCTTAAAGCTCATCCAGTTCCACCCCCCCTGCCAGCACCAGGGACACCTTCCACTAGACCAGGTTGCTCAAAGCCTCATCCAGCCTGGCCTTCAACACTTCCAGGTAGGGGGAATCCACAACTTCCGTGGGCAACCTGTTCCAGTGTCTGACCACCCTCACAGTGAAGAACTTCTTCCTAATATCTCATCTAAACCTCCCCTCTTTCAGCTTAAACCCATTTCCCCTTGTCTTGTCAGTAGTTGCCCTTATGAAAAGTCCCTCCCCAGCTTTCTTGTAGGCCCCCTTCAGGTAGGCCCCCATCTCGCTCTGCGTTACCCAGTTGTAACCAAGACCAAGAGGTCTTGTTTTGCTCTGGATGTCTATATTTGCCTTTCCTAGTTTGCCACCTTCGAACTCAGCTGTGTGTTGTCAGATTGTTGACATTTGAAATGCTATCTTGACAAAATTTCACTTGGTTATTGCTTTGGTGGGCTACTTCAGTCATCCCAGCACTGTCAGGTAGAAGTAGGTGAATATTTTAAAAATTTAATTCAGTGAAAGATAGACTAGATGTGCTTCAAGTACACAGAGGTATTTGGGAGGGGGGGTCAGGTCCCCAGCATCAATCTTGTTAGAATAATTGCAAAAATATTAATCAGTATTTTTTCTCTTCCTTCATTCTGAGTTTGTGCTCCTTTGAGCTCGTTGCACTTCTTATTTTTGTGACAATAACTCTGGCCTTTGCAGGTCAGGGACAGAGGTTTCATTCCGAGTCACAGTTTGCAAATTTTAAATTATTATCTGCTCTGTTTAAGCTTTTACTGAAAAATTAATATTTTGGGATTTTTAGCCTGTTCCAAATATACTACTTGTTCCCCCACTGGCAAGACACCGAAACTGGTGGAGGTGACCTGAAGAAATAAGCAGGAAGGGAGGTTGTCTGGGTTGAAAGGAGGTTGTCTTGGCATGGTTGTCTTACCAAGGACTTGGAAAGCATGGTAGGAGTGCTGTCTCACCTTATTTTTTGGAGATTATGAAATGCCTGCACTGTATTCCTAGTATAAGACTTGGTATGGACAGGAACTTTTTAAACAAAAGATCTATTTTTCTGCTCAAGTGAAATAAGATGAGGGTTTGTGGTTTTTTTGCTAGAGATATTTTCAGATTTCTAAGGACTGACTGAAAAATGTCAGTCAATGCTTTTGATGAAACATGGGACTTTGTAATTAAAATTATCTGCTTTTCCTTTCGTATTTTTTGTCCAAACGTGACATGGCAAAGAACTAGGAAACATTTTGTTTCTATGTACTTCAGGTGCCAAAAATAACTTTTTCATTTTGGTTTGTATAAAGTACAAAGAAAGGCCCCCTTCCTTGTAGGGGGCCTACAAGGAAGCTGGGGAAGGACTTTTCATAAGGGCAGTTAATGACAAAACAAGGGGAAATGGGTTTAAGCTGAAAGAGGGGAGGTTTAGATGAGATATTAGGAAGAAGTTCTCCACTGTGAGGGTGGTCAGACACTGGAACAGGTTGTCCAGAGAAGCTGTGGCTGCTCCTCCCTGGAAGTGTTGAAGGCCAGGTTGGATGAGGCTTTGAGCAACCTGGTCTAGTGTAAGGTGTCCCTGCTGATGGCAGGGGGGTTGGAACTGGATGAGCTTTAAGGTCCCTTCCATCCCAAACCATTCTATGATTCTATGAAAGTAGAAATGAGTCTTTGGATGAAATTTCCCCAAATGGAAGGGGACACTAGAAATTAATTTTCTATCAGCTCTGGATTTTATTTAGATTTGACTAAAAATTTCCTGCCCTCTTGATTCATCACCATTTTCCTGCTTGGCATTCGTGATAACCTACTAGTTCTTTGGGGGGCTCAGGGTAGGGCAAAAATAAAAGATGTGACAACGGGGTGAGGAGAAAAAAAAGCCACCAGAAATTCCTCCTGTACATCTTTCATTGCATTTGTTAAAATGAATGTTTGTTGGAGGGAGGGAGATTCATACACATCCAGATTTAAATAACACAGGACAGTGACAAAAAAAGTGAAGCATCTTGGGAAAGGACTTTGAATCTCCTGGTTTTTGTCAGGTTTCTCACAGCCTTGTGGTTTGCCGGGATATTTTTGTGTGCGTCGGTGGAATCCTTCTGGCTCGTACACTGAAACCGGGACTGTTCAAAGTGTCACATTTTCATCTTAGTACTTATCTCCCTGATCTTAGAGATGAAAACATACCCCATAGTGTGTTAGATGTGAAAGCCACGTGTAGGTGATGATATAGATGGTTATTAGGGGAGTTGATCTAGTTAGCAACAGAGACATTGTATCTAGTCACTCTTTTTATTTTTCCTCCTTTTTCTCTTGTAATGGGCTACGAGTGGCTCTAGATTCCCAAGGAGGGGCTTTCTCCATGACTTCATCATCAGCTGCCTGCCACTGCATTTATATTTTCTTTGTTTCTTCTTTTTTCTCTAACTCATTTCTTCTTTTGACTGGAGGTGGAGTGATACATCTTTTGAGGACTGACCCACCTCCACAATATTATTCCTTGAGGGTTTCTTAGAAGGGTTAGTATCTCCACAGGGCAAAACTAACCCTACTGGAAGACCTCCCAACTGTGCTTTTGGACAGGACACCTGTGTTTTTTTCCTCCAAAGTCAAAATCTTTACCCACAAACATAAACTGTAAAGTTTTGTTTGGTGTTTCGTTGTACTAATTGCTTGTATCTCTTTTCCTGTAGACCCCGACTGGGCCAGTTTGAATCTGGGAGCCCTCATATGTATCGAATGCTCAGGTATACACCGAAACCTTGGCACACACCTCTCCCGGGTCCGCTCTCTCGACCTGGATGACTGGCCCATAGAGCTCATCAAGGTGATGTCTTCTATCGGGAATGAGTTGGCAAACAGCGTCTGGGAGGAGAGCAGCCAGGGCCATATGAAACCTTCATCAGACTCCACAAGGTAGGCTTGGCTACTCCATCTCACCGTGGCACGCAGCAGGCAGGTAGGATGTGATGCTGCACGGGACCAAGGCTGCAAGCTATGAGCATGTAAATCCTCCTTTGGACTTTTCAGTCCAGGCTGGTGGAGTGTTGCAACATTTTACAACACAGGCTTTTAAAACTCTCCCTCGGCTGGCATCTTCTAAAAATCATTACATGTACATCTCTTCACTGCATGCCCAGGAAGAATGTGTGTCAAAAAGGGGGGGAATGTCAAAAGTGGAGTGACCCCGTTACTTTTTCATTCTTGTGAAGGTTTCCTCAGCAGCTCTACAATTTTTTTGTTCAAATGACTGACTGACAAAACAGTGGGAGATTGAAACCTCCTGCCTGGTTGTTCCTCAATCGAAATTACACTGTAGTGTGTTTCTTTGTTTTGGTCAGCCACAAAGTTCCTGGCTCTTGGACTATCAGTTTGTGATTCATAATCTGCCTTCAGTAAGTTAAGCTCACTCAGGAATTTGTACCTGGCCATCAGGTCTTTGGGTTCTCATCATGGATGTTGAAAGTCCTGCTCACTGTGGACTCTCTTACTTTTTTTCTGTGATACAGGTGAAACCATAAGTTATTGGGGGGGTGTGTTTCCTGTGAGAACAGTGTTTTACCTATCTTCTTTCTGCAATATGTTGTCCTACCAAAAACTAAAGTTCTTTTATGCTTAATTTATCTGATCAGTGTCAAAGAAAGATGTTTTGAAAATACTTCCCTGATTTTAGTAGATTTGAGAAGTAAGTGCTACTCATTCTAACTGATGTATTGGCTTGGGGGAAGCAGTGACCTCTGGCAGACTGCCTTTCAGCAAGGGGGTCAGGCAGGAGAAAGACCTCCTGTACTTATGGCTCTGTCCAAGTCCCTTGGAGGAGGGTGGAGAGAGGTGGGGGTGGGTCTGTTCAACCAAGGCCCAAGGGACAGGACAAGAGGAAATGGGCTCCAGTTGTGGCCAGGGCAGTTGAGATGGGATGTGAGGAAGAATTTCTTTGCTGAGAGGGTTCTGAGGCATTGGAAGGGGTTGCCCAGGGCAGTGGTGGAGTCCCCATCCCTGGAGGGAATGAAGAGTGGTGTAGACATAGTGCTGAGGGACATGGGTTAGTTGGGGACTTGTCAGTGTTGGGTTCATGGTTGGACTCTATGATCTTAAAAGGTCTTTTCCAATCGAGGCCATTCTGTGACTGCCTTGCACAGCTGGACCAACCTTTGAAGATGTCTTCAGAAGTGTGTTGTAACTGTTTTAGGAGGAGTTCCAGGGAGGCAGCCTGTATCCGAGCACCGGTCGGTCCCCGGGTAGCCAGTGGCACGATGCAGGTTTAGCTGTCAGTGTTTGCCTCCTGCACACGAGAGAAATCAGAGGGATTACATTCCAATTTTGTTCATGTCTATCTCCGGGTCCTGCTTTTTCCAGTACCAAATCAAGTGCAATTCTAACCTGGGAGCATATCCCTGGGCCACCTCCTGCAGTGTAGGAGCAGGTTTGTACTGTTGTCCCTAATAAAGTCAACTGTTTCTTATTGCCTTATTTCGTTAGCACTGAAAAATGAATTTGTGGTGCCACCTTTGGTTCATCTTCGAGAATGAAGCCAGTACATTAATCAGGCTACTTAGGTGAATGAATGTGGATATCAAAGTGTTCAGGGAGACCTACACAGAGATTGTGTTCAGACATAAACTGTGTCTCTGCTGGATACGTGTGTGCTATTAGACAGCTAAGAAAATTGTTTCATCAGGTAACCTGAAAACAACTTATTGCTTTCTTTCAGTCATTAGTATTACTTTAATCCAGAGATCTTCTGTTGTTGCATCTAAAACATATGTTGCTCCTTATTACTGAGGTGAGCTGGAGAGATACCTCAATTCTAAATATTTTTAAAAGGAAAAGGTATTCACTCAATTGATTTTTTAAAAAATATATTATTTTCCCATTCGTACATCAAAGGTATTATCATGACAAATATAAAATACATGACTGTGATGAAAAGAAAGCCATCCATTTGAATTATATTATTCACATTTTTATGTTTGGAAGTGAGTTTTACTTATAGAAAATCACTTTTGTTCTCTCTGTATTTCATGCTCAGAGCTTATTTTAATTCTTGCTTGTTTCTGTATATCTTCGTGTTTATATTCAGCTGTTTATGTTTGTCAGTGACATAATTGCATTTTTCTTCCTGGACTGTAACATTTTGGAACAAAAGGTATAAAGATTCATTTTATAAATATGCATTTCCACTTATATGATGAAAGAGCTGTTAGAAAAAAAAAACAGAATTAAGATTTTGTGAAAATTTTCCCACAAAGCAATTGCAATATCGCTTTGCTACTCCCATTTTTTCCACTGTTTGCAGCAGGGACTGAAGTGATACTTTTCACATAAATTTCTTGACAGATCTGTTTTTTTCAAGGTGTGCACCTCCTTTTGTACGTTACTTTGGTCATCATGATATTTCAGTCCAAGATGTGGCAAGAAAATAAGCTCAAATTCTTAAATTTAAGTTTCTTTTTCTTCATTTTCTCGCTGCTGTTTGCAGTTTCGCGTGAGGAATCCTGTCAGAAGCAGCTACAATGGACTTCATAGATTCATAGAATCATAGTGGGGTTGAACAAATCCCCCTGTTTTTGTTGTTGAGGTGGGGGAGGCGATTGAAGTTGAGGGACTTGGGGAAGAGGCAAGAAAGTAAGCCAGTAGAAATGTGACTGGGGAGCGGAGATTTGGAGTTCTTGTGGAGGAGGGATGGAGGGAGTCAAGGATATTTAGAGATCGAGGAGGAAAGAATCATTCAGCAGAAATTCTGAAGGGGAAGAGAGGTGATAACTAGTGTTGGGGGGCTGTTCCTGCCCATGCTGGTGGGCTCTGGCATCAGCCAGAGTCTGAGAGCTACTGTACGCAGAGGTTCATGCATTCAACATGCCCCTGCTTTAATGAGTTTTCTTCTCACCAAAACCCCATCAGATGGGAAAGGGAAGTGCTTCCGTGTTTTCCCTGAACTTGCAGAAGGTTTCTTAACCATTTTCCCAGTGATTCCCAGGCTTAGCACAAAGCATCAGTAAAACACCTTAGATAAATACAATCTTCTCATGAGTTTCTTTATCATAGGCATGTCTCTTAACTCTTCTGTCTCCACTGTGCGCTCCACAAAGCACCCAAAGTTGTAAGCACCATGATGGACCTTCTGTTAATAGGCATTTGTAGAAGGGATCAGGCATACGTGGGTTTCATGTTGTATCTTTGTATTGGAGATGAAGCCATCAGGCTTTCTAGGGGCAAAAAAAAAAATGGTTATTGACTGCTCCACAAGTACTGAATCTGTTGGGCTGGAAGGCTTGAGGAGCATTCACATGCTGGACTAAAAGGAACCTGAAAGTCTTGCCATGGCTTCAGAAGTGGTCCCTTCAGCTTGGGAGAAGTCAGCACGGATCACTGCATCATTGCAGTGGCATCCCATGCATTTCTGTTGAGTAGAGACCCAGGGAGATGGATGTTTTGCAGGAGGGATTGCCAAATGGCTATCGTAGGCCACAGCAGAATTAAAGTCTTACTCAGGAAAATGTCACCAATATTTATAAAAATAGAGATAGGCTAGACTTTTAACACAGGTTGCATTTTTAATTTTGTACACTCAAGTTAAATATTATCAAACTTAAACCACGTCAAGTGTACCATAGTGCTGTCCTTTCCTAGTCATAGAATCCCAGACTGGTTTGGGTTGGAAGAGACCTTAAAGATCATCCAGTCCCAACCCCCCTGCCATCAGCAGGGACACCTTCCACTAGACCAGGTTGCTCAAAGCCTCATCCAACCTGGTACGCTCCAGTTTGCATAAAACTCTTTCTAAAGAAAGTCATGGGGAAAGATAAACCTGGAAATGCATTTTGCAGGTCAGAGTGGCTGTTGGGTTGGGGGGTGTGAACTCAAAGCCTGAGAATTTTGTAGTAAAACTATTACTACTATTGCTTCCATCAAGGATATTGCCCTTGATTAGTATGTTCTCTAATGTCAACGTGTGCCAGGTCTCATCAAGTCTCTCTCATCTCATTATAAAATAAGCAGATCCTCCAGGTCATTCGGTGCCTCTGGATCAAAAGCAGCACCTTGTTTGGCCTCCAGCATTGAACTGGAAGGCAGCACGGGTGCGATGGGATCCCCAAGAAAGCAGCGTAGAGTAAAGCAGTAGCAGGAGGCGAAGTTCAGACTGAGGGTGTTGGCGTGATTATGGGGAGGAAAGAGGAATAAACGCGAGCTCCTGGTGAGCTTAAAAAGTTGGTGAAGTGGCAGCAAACCCCAGCGCAGGCGAATACGTGTGCACGGAAGGGAAAGGAGAGCAGCTGGCCTCTGAGCGGTGGTGTCCATGGGTCCCTGATTAGGTCAGCTTTGGAAGGCTGGTAATTGGTTCCAGCAATTATCAGCAGCCCTGAGAACCGCCGCTCAAACTTTGGGAGCCCTGTGACAAATTGAAGCTGACTGCTGGTGAAGGAGTATCGACTTCCCATTTCTAAACAGGGGGATCATTAGTCAAGAAAAGCATCTTTTAATTACTCGCAGGAAGGGGGAAATAAAAAAAAAGGAAAAAAAGGAGAAAGATCTTTCAGTATGGATCCTGCAACAACTGCCATTTTTTTTTTTCCAAGTGTATTCAATATTAAATTTATTGTCTTGGAGGGGAGGGGGTGAGCAGGGAGAGTTTGCCTGCAGTTCCTCCTTTGGTAACACAGGTTTAATTTGGAGTGAGAAGTCAAATTAGAGTAAATCAATGTTGCGACAATTAACTGGGTCTGGGGATGAGATCAGGATTTTCCCTTCTAATTGCTATTGATACTATTTAAGCACAGCCTTAAAACATTGATTGGGAGTGGTATGACACAGGAGCAGCCCGATGGGGCAGAGGCAGAACTGCTCCATGGAGGAATGTTGGAGAGGTGGTGAAGCCAGCTTGGGGAGTCTGCACTGTGCTTTGCCTGGGCCTTTTG